TTAAAAGTATGTCATAACTATTACTGCTTTATACAGATGGTTCTTGCTTAACAACCACAATTGGGACTGGCAATTCTATTGCTAAGCTGTAGTCAGCAAGTAAGACATCATATGACATGACACACTTACAACTTTCTTGCACTGCAGTCATTAAGCAAATCTCCCTTGATTATTAAGTGATCATCATGTTGCCATGATTTGCCATTTTACTGCTGGTTTCTCCATTACCTTTGTTTATCGGAAACCAGCTGTGAAGTACATAAATTGTGATGCTCAGACTGTGGAATACTCAATGGTTATAAATGCACACTGGTTACAAAATCCAAATTTGCAGTACAACAGTTGTAAGTGCAAAGAATGGCCATAAAGTTATTTTTTTTTTCATTTCCATCATAACTTCAAATGGTCACTAAATAGGACATTTGATAAAACAAAGATTACCTGTAATTTAAAAACCAAAATATATTTCAAACCTGTCACAAATTCATCTATTCCTTTAATCTTTAATCTTTTATCTTATTTTTATACTTTGAAATTTTTCAATAGCTGGTTTAAATTGTAGTGTAGTTCTGAATAGCATTCCAAAGCTTGGATATATGCTAGAATATATTAGATTGCCTTATGTCTTAAATCAAAGTCCTGCATGTTTTCTTAGAAATATTATAAACGACAGCATGATACTTAAAATAAACCAGCTTCCAGATTTTAGGGATAAAGGCAGCAGTATAAAATATTCGACACTAATAAAATCACATCACTAAGAGGTAAACCTTAGGATGGGTTCTGTTATTGAACAAATGTTTGTTGATCTAGAAGCATGCAGGTTTTATACAGACTGTTTATCTTGTCATATTGTATAAAGGCAGCCTATTTTAATTTTATTGGCTTCAGTGGTTTAATTTCAGGTACTTAACTCTATAGGTCTACTGAATCATTGAAGCAGGAACCTGTTCAGAAGGCAATACACATATATTGTATGTGTGTACATACTTACAAAGATACTTTGACTATAAAATCCTAAAATTATGGACCAGGCAGAAACATCTAGTTCAACTTTGCAATGCACAGGAAAACCAATTAAAGTCTTATTGAGAGGTGGTTATCTATTCTCTTTTTAAAAATCTCCATGAACGAGAATCCATAACCTCTGTAAGTAGACTGTTCTATAGTAGTGTAGATCTCATTGTCAGAAACTTTTTCAGTTCATTTAGAGTAGTTTTCAAACTATAACTCCATTACATGAAGATATGGGAATGATAGCTACAAGCTTCCATCTACCTACTTAAACAAATCTTCACCTATGACTGGCCTCTATAATCCAGGAACCTTATTTATAGCATTTAGGAACCTAACAAGGTAGTATGACACATACTCTTCATTTTATCTTTTTTGCAATTAGAGAACTGGTTTAAACTGGCTAGATCTATTGCAGTCAAATTCAGAATCATAAGAAAGGAAATATCCTTAAATGCATTTTTAATTGGCTCCCTACTGAATCAGATATGGAACTTTGCTCACCAACAGTGCACACCACAATCCATTTCTGTTGAAAGGATGTTTTTTACAGACAACAAAATTACTATAAATGCATAACATACCTCTCTTCTCTTGTCTCCATGGAATAATTGAAACCCAAACATACTTTGTAAGTCTACTATCTCTTAAGTAAAACATCTTAATACAATTCTGCATATATTATGAAACCCAAACTTGTCAAACATAACTAAGATAGTGTGACTTGAAAGTCTATGTATTTGTTTATTACCTTTTCCAAAGTACTCTTCCAGTTGAGCCTTAATGATATCATGGGTATCAGCTGACTGATATGAGGAAACTCATAAAAAATAATTCTATGAGACAGGAAAAACTGTCCCAACCCAGTCCCATCACTCATTATTATATTAAAACACATATTTTCCTCTTTACCCAGCTAACTTGTGCAAATACATTATCTTTCTATTATGTCCTGCTATTTATTATATTAGACAGCCAACAAGAGGATTTAATGCATCTCCTCAAAGGTCTAGATTTATTTAATGAAGTAAACTGTAATTATTTTTTTTCTTTTTCTAAAGTAACATGAGAATTTGCTAAAAGCTTTCCATGCACATTCATATTTATCAAGAGCAACTGCTAATGTATTCTTGCAATTTTCATCTTATGACTAGTTGTAGGAATAGAAAATGCACAATATGTTTTATAAAAGGATTAAACATTTTAATAAGGAACTACCAGTAAATGACTTATAACTGTTAACAGCTAAATCTTGTACTTTTCAACAAAGAAATAAACAAAGTTTTGATCTTATCCTTTTAATCTCCCCTCCTTTTATAAAACCTTAATGCTTTTTTGTTTATACAGTACAAGTTGAATACCTGTTCTCCGCTATGGAACTATGTGATTGGGCTTGATAAATCAACACTTACAGCTGGGAAATCAATGAGTAGTTAGGATCAGCCTCTCCTCTCCTCTCCCCTTCTCTCTCTCAGACTTGCCCCACAGAAGCCTCTCCTCTTCCATTCTCTCCCTCAGGCTGGCCCCACGGAGGCCTCTCCTATCTTATTCCCTTTTCTACCTCAGCCTTGCCCCATTGATCCTCTCCTATCCCCCTTCTCTTCTTCATGCTTGCCTCACAGAGACCTCTCCTATCTTATTCCCTTCTCTCCCTCAGTCTAACTCCTTAGCATCAGAGTGTTTTTCAGGTGGGGAGAGGCATAAAATGTCTAAACTGCGAGCCTGCAGGCCAGGTGAGTCACATGCTGGCCATGCCCAAACCCAAGTGGCAATTGGAACAGAATTCTTGTCAGGTTGGGAGGGGGGTAGAACATCTAACTCCTTAGCCTCATAGCGTTTTAATAATAATATAAGAAATACTAATGATCTGATGGTCTTTTTGGAAAAATCCTTTCTTAGCGAGCACCTGGAAGCCAAGAGGAATATACATGGCACATTTCAAGTTTGTAGGCTTTACGGTTCTGGAGATTTCATGATGTCGTGTGAGTGGCATTTCACTTTTTTATATATAGATTACATTCAATATTATATATAGAACAGTAGATATGGAAGCTGGAGCTACCCAATGCAGCAGATGGGAGGGTACTTCTGAAAGTAGAATGTCTTTATTCTCTCTTATAATCTTGAATAAGATGAATAATATCGCCAAAGAATTTGCAGCTCAATTTTAACGTCCATAATAGAATCTCAGTAAGGGTCTGCCTTCTCTCTCTCTCTCTATCTCTCCCCCCTCTCTCTCCCTCCCTCCCTCTCTCCCACTCCCACTCTCTCTTTCACATTCAAAGGTGATTCAACTGAATCAACTTGTTCAATAAAAAGTTTGAATCAAGTTTCTAAGGTGATTCAAATTTTCAGAAACAAATCAATTGCCTTTGAATTATTTTGCAGAGATACTAAGGCAATTCTGAGAGTTGGTACATTTTTCTAGCTTTGTAAAACATTTATGCAGTTTTCGTACATAAACAAAACTGTTAAGAGAGGACTGAGTTGTTATGAGTTTTCTGATGTTGATTTAAATAGAAGACTGACAGTTTTATCAATTTTATGAACCTTATTTGAATCCTGGTGTACCATTTAGATCTCTTTCCCTTCTATTAGAAGTCTTGTCCTTCGGCTGCAAGACAGATACTGAATATTTGCAAAAAATAAAATGTAGATCTTCTCCCTTGTATAAGCAAGCAAATGCTAATGTGGGTGGATCTTTCTTATACATATTCAATAAGAGCAATAATTCCCCTAGGATCTTAGACTATTCTTGTGAATAGACCCTATTATGAACATTTAGGTGGGAGTTTGTCAGCTGCAGTAATATAGGAATAATCACAGTCATTTACATTCCATTAGATTAGTCTAACTAGTTTAAAACATTTGATGCTGGCTGGGTCTAGCTTTTCAATTTCTGACAAGACTGCACCTCTTCATATCATATTTGGAAACATCTGGATTAAAAATAAGAGTTCTATATGCCAAGCATGTATCACTGAGTAGACACCAGTCACACTGACTTTCACACTGAAAATCTTGTTAAATAGTTGCTTCTTACCATGTAGTCTGATAGCTATTGAAATGAAAAATAATCAGAAAATAACTAATATGTTGCTATAATGTGGTAAAATTAGGCGTCTGTGAATAGCTCACATTTTGTAGTGTTTGTGCTAATTAATCAGAACTTGATGATACTTCGGGATAAAATGGATGCTCAGAATCCTATGGAGAAATACGGGAGAAATTTTACCACCAAAATGGTGGTGGGTTTCAAAAATTGTTCGAACCTACTCTGTGGGTGTGGCCTCCTTTATGGGAGTGGCTTGCTGCCCATGTGACCGGGTATGAAGATGCCGACGACACTTGTCAGAACCACCTTAAATTACCTCACACACAGCACTGGCCTGCATAAGAATATGATGTAAACTTGTTTTTTAAAAAGCATCTTTGGTTTGCCTTAAAACAACTTCAACACACGCTGATTGCACCACAAACGCAGTAGTCATCCTTACCTTTCACAGAGGCACTGAATTTTATAAATATGAGCATGATAGTGTAGAATAATCATATCCAAGGACCAGTGGTGGGTTTCAAAAAATTTTGGAACCTCTTCTGTAGGTGTGGCCTGCTTTCCGGGTCCACTGGTGGAACCTCTTCTAACTGGTTCGGTATATTTGACGAACCGGTTCTACCGAATAGGTGCGAACTGGTAGGAACCCACCTCTAACCAAATTATAATATCCAATTTCACCTGGATGATAACAACCAGATTCACCCATGAAGAATTAAATTAGTTGATTTATTACTCAAATCTATGCACAGGAATCTTCTCATACTAACAATTTGCACCTAGATGAGACTAGATGAGGTTCAATGGCTTGCAGGGAGGCTCAGACTTCATCCTGTTGTCACCATGTAAGGATTCTAGACTAAGTCCCGATTTGACTCCTCCCACTGGTTCAGCCAGTTTCTCTCCTATAAATCTCAAGAATAAAGATTACCTGCCGTAAGTCAAGTGTGATGGTCACGTAGTGATATTCTATTCCATTTTGAATGCTAGGGCTTTGCCACCATGTATTCTTGCCATCAATTGCATTTGATATGGGGTGTCTCACTGTTGAACCAAGAATAAAAAAAATTAGCACAAAATGAAACTTATCTTCTTTACCCTTTATTCTGTTTTCATATTGGTGCAAGTAGAACATACTGGGCAATATCTTAGATAAAAAATATTTTTCTAAGTTTCTTATGACACAGTGCTGACTTTCAAAGGTGCAAGTATTGCTTTGTGATGAAATTCAGTTCAATGAGTTCCTTAGAAAATGAATTAAAACAGGATTAGATGGTGACATAACTTTCCTGTCAGAGTTTGTTGCAAAAATCAAATCCAGAAAGCACACACAGAAAACTGATTCAACAAGATTTATTAACTTCTTTATATACATAATAACACCAAATAGTTCCCATTGGCTGACCCAATTGCCATGCCTATACATTGTCTGACCTTGTTACCATGTCCTATTCCAGCAAGTCCCCAATGGCTGACCTGTTGCTATGTCCTATTCCAGTTCATGAATATTCTGACATTTCCTCTGTCTATCTGTAATGGGCAGAAAGAATAAACCTGCATCTAAGGAAACCGTCTACCTTTATGATAGCTAATTTTGCTAAAAAGATCAATAAGATCTATACCTTGATATTTAATAAGAGAAAAAATTATATAATATTAAAAGTTATAGAGAGATTCAAAGGTGTGTTTCATGTATAAATACACTCATATATATTATGTAAGCAAAGCAGACAATAAAGTCAAAGCAGCCCTGCCTCAATCTTTTGATTAAGAGTCAAGACTTGATTCTTCAAAGAAACATGTTAAGGTTCAATGTCTATATTAACAGGGGAAAGTTGCAGTTTACAGCTCAGGAAACAAAAGAGATTAGATAGTTTATCCTGGGGACGAGATTACTTATTCCAGCAAGAGTAGCTTTTATATCATCTAAATATCTTAGTCTGTCTCCCCTTTTGGCCTTTTTCTCAGCTGAATTTTGTAGTCCATAAAAAGCACATTTCTCCGGAAGTAGCAGAGACAAGAGAATATTTTAATGGATATTGGCACCGGAAAATGCCCAAGATGTTACCTAGCTTGGTAACAAAACATTTTCAGAAAAAGAAACAAGTTCAAAGGACACAAAACACCATCCAACAATTGAAAAGAGTTCCATAAGCCAAAAATTAGCTTACAATGGGTATACCTTTTATTGTGCGTTTGCTGATTTAGCAAAAGCTTATGATCATGTAAATAGACTTAATTATGGAATACTTCATAAGCACATGAAGGTGAGGCTGTGAAAAGAGACAAGGTGGATATGTGATGAAGTAAAGCATACATAAGAATATACAAAAAAAAAAGAATAAACCATGTGGAGATACAAAATTCATTGCTTCAGGAATGTTTTGAGAACTGTGAAATATACATGGTTTCCTCAGACCATACCTTCACCTTTTGGATCATCCTAAATCTTTTCCATTGGAAAAAGTGTGAGGTATTCTGTAGTTTATGTAATTCTCAATTATGCCTGTTTCATCAGGAGTGTTTTATCTAGAATATCTAGAACTATTTCCCACACCTTTAACAGATTTAACAGATTAATGGATGAGACATTGTAGGTCATCTAGTCTAACCCTCTGCCCTAGCAGGTCACTCTATATCATTTCTGCCCTTCAACCAGCTCATTGGCCCATGCTCCTGAGTTTTCCAGTATGGAATGTTTCAATCCAGAATTGAGGAATTTTGTATATCCTTCATGAGGGGGTTGAAGGAAAGAGAAAGATGGAGAAAAACAAAATTGATTGGCTAGTATTGCTGAGATCCTCAAAAAGAAAAGAAAATGAGAAGTGTATAATCCAGATATGGATATGGCAGTAACAAGGATGGTTTCCAGAAACAGAAAGGTATGAAGAGGTATAATGATTATTGTTGTAAATAATATTTACTTTTCTCTTACCCCTTGCCTTTAATTTATTTTGCTCGCTACTTTCCCGATGGTTACATATGTATGATTGTTTGGTATATGTCTTTGCTGCTTACAGAAAATCACTATCATTGAAATCATTAACCAAGGTTAATGTGTAAATTAATGTTTTCATATTATGTCAGTATTTCAAAACAAAAGGAATTTTTTCAAAATCATTGATAAATAAGAATGTCTGACTACAGCTGAAAACACAATTAAAACACTTGTTGGAGATAATCTGTTAGTTTGAAAACTGCAAATGCTAAAAAAAAAGTACATAGATATCAAATGATTCAGGAGCCCAATGAAATATTAACATGTCACATGTGATAAAATTGGAGAGAGAAGTATTTTTTATTGGATTTGTTATCTCTTTTACAACCCCCCTCCTCACCCCTGATAGCTAAGACTAAAGAAGAAAAATTACTCTTGGCACTATGTGATCTTTTTACTGCCTCTGATATATTTTTTTTCCAGCAATGAGCTTAAATGTATCTTGGGAGAAAAAAAAATCTGCTGTAAATCAAGCTCAGGTCTCCAAGGTGATAGCAATAGAAGTTGTCTAATTAGAAATATTGCTATCAATCTCCCCACATCAAATTGATATGAGGTGTAGTCATGAAAAGAAAGAATGAGAAATGAATATACAATTAACTGTAATCCCATTACAGAAGTTTAATCTTAATTAAATTGAAACCACTGATTAATTGCCGAAATATATTTTCTTATTTTTTTAAAATAAGGGAAAGATAATATAAACCATAGACTGCCTGCAAGAAAGGCGGGGGTGGTGGTGGTGGTGAGGAACTGATAGAGCTGAAAGCTTAACATAAAGACCAACCTCAGTGATGAATGACGAGGGAGTTAGCTTGCACACAAGCAACTCATCAAAATGTGGTCTTTAATTTGGGCTCACATATGATTAAGCAGGGAGTGTGTGTTCATTTCCTTCCACCGTAATTAAGGGGAGATGCACCAGATTCACAAATTCCAAGGGGATCATTTAAAGTCTGGTACATTACATGGCACTCTTATTAAAGGGCCATCTCTGGTAAATAAAACAGTTCAGTGTGCCAAGTGAACATTTTGCAAACCTTAAAATGAAATGAGTTTGTAATGAAAGACCATGTGTTTTAATGGCTGTCTGCACTGCAGATTAACAGCAGTCAGAATTGCAGATGTGGGGTCTTTATGGAGGCTGCTAAACTGATTAGTACTGGGTTTTAGCTTAAAGAACCATCAGAATTAGCCCACAATTTATTTATTTTTTGAGAAATGATCACAGAACTACAAGTAAGTAACTTATAGTATTCTGTCTGGGACTTCCTCAGAAATAAAACATGGTATTTGAATATTACATGTATTGTTATAAATTTTCTCACATGTTCTTTTGCTCAGAATACTTAAAAATATGAAAAATGTCTTGTCTGCCTCCACCTCGTTTGACGGACTCCAAACACGACTCCCCAGCGTATTCTCCATTTTTGTGCAAGACCTCCCACAAGGCCATTGCTGCTGGTCCTCCCCCCCAACTGTGCTGGTTCCCTCTCCTCCCCAACTCCCTGCTGCTGCTATTTCTACTTATAGAATATTCTAGCCTGTGTTTGATTTCTTCAGTTCAGAACTAAAACTGAGAATAACTTGTCCCAACCTCTATTGTCACTTAAGCAACATTACTTGTCTCCCCTCCCCTTTGACTGGGGGCAAAGAAAGACTGGCTTGGGGCAGGAAAATGGGGCTTATCTGCTATCCAAATTGTGCACTCTAATGCAGTGGTGGGTTTCAAATTTTTTAAAAACCTATTCTGTGGGTGTGGCCTATTTTGTGGGCATGGCTTGACATCACTCATGCACACTCAGTCACATGACCACCACCCCAAAGCCATGTGGCAAAAATTTTTGGAACTCCTATGAAAGAGAGGGGAAGAGAGGGGAAAACCTCCAAAAATAGACAACTGGAGGATTAGGGGGCGAAATTAGGGAGATCGAAGAAGGCAGGACAGAGAGGAATCCAGTAGAAAGCTATCACATATTGGGGAAAGAACTTTGGGAGATCAGTGGAGGCAAGACAGAGGGGAATCCAGTAGAAAGCTATAACATGCTGGGGAAAGAACTTTGGGAGATTGGAGGAGGCAAGACAGAGGGGAATTCAGTAGAAAGCTAAAACATGCTGGGGAAAGAACTTTGAGAGATTGGAGAAGGCAAGACAGAGGGGAATCCAGTAGAAAGCTATCACACGCTGGGGAAAGAACTTTGGGAGATCGGAGGAGGCAAGACAGAGGGGAATCCAGGAGAAAACTCCTGAGCTTGCCTCTGCTGGCTGGTGGATTGTGCCGCTGCATCTCTCCAGCGGGCAGGGGTGAGTGTGGAGCGACAGGGCCAGGGCAGGCATTCTGGAAGTTACTTCCAGGTCCATTTCACCATCCAGTTCTCCCGATCTGGTGCGAACTGGCAGAAATCCACCACTGCTCTAAGGTCCTCTAAACTGGAGGCCAGTAAAAGTGAGAACAAAGTTCCAATTTATGGTTTCGGTTATATAGGGGGAAAAGGTGACAGACTTGCCCTTATATAATCACAAGACATCCAATGTGCAGATGATATTCTATAATGGGCATTTTCTGTTCCCAAATCAGGATCCAACATAACTCCTAGCAATAGCACTTAGACTTATATACCACTTTTGCTTTACCACCCTCTCTAAGCAGTTTACAAAGTCAGCGTATTGCCCCCAATAATCTGGGTCCTCATTTTACCGACCTCAGAAAGATGGAAGACAGAGTCAGCCTTGAGCTGGTAAGAATTGAACTGCTGACAGTTGGCAGAATTAGCCTGAAATACTGCATTCTAACCACAGTACCACCATGGCTCTTGATCCAGTATAATAATTTCAGCTGAGAAGGATGTTAAGAACATAAGATACTATACACTTACAGTTTGGATTCCTACTACGCTGGTCACAGATGCGGCATTGAGGGTTTCTTGCTGGCTGGCGAGAGACATGTTCCACCAGCTTACAGTACATTTGTGGACCTCTTTCTCCACAGGTAGCATTTGCGGTGATGAGAGCATTAGAAGCCAAGTTCAGCACTGCAGGAAACAAACCTGAACAAAGAAAAAGAAAGCAAACACTAGAGTAAAATATTTATAGAAATGTTGCATATTTTTGGTCCAGGAATTGGTGATATACTTTCTACAGCAGTTTTATTGATTCAGTATGCATATAACACACTGCAAAAATATAGCCATTCACAATGTCACAGATTCTCTCTCTGTCTTTGTTTTTCTCTCTGTCTCTGTCTCTCTCTCCCTCTCCCTCCCTCCTTCTCTCCCTCTCTTTTCTCACCTTATTCTCCATTTATCTCTCTATCATCTTTCTCTATCCAACTATCTAACCATCTCAACATGGACTCTGGACAACATACAATTAAAAAAACAACACAATACATAAAATCAGAGTCAAGAAACATGAATGCAACAGGAGGAGGAACAGCCATAGCCCACACAAATGGCAAACCAATTTAGTTAAGAGCTTGAAGGGGAAAAATACATTTTTAAAAGATGGCCTGAATGTTTTCAGAGTTTCAGCAGTCTGAATTCCAGGGAATGCTTGTTCAAAAAGAAGATGTTATGATAAGGAAACAGGGACCCCAAGTCTCATCATATGGATGGGAACTGATGGGTGCCTCCTTCGTCAGATCTTATAGGACAAAATTGTTGGGGGAGAGATGGTTCTTAGAGAGACAGGCTGCATGCCACAAAGCACTTTATAGATGATATTACTCTCAAAAACTCACTACAAACCAATGCCATTCATGTAAAAGAAATGTTACGTGAGTTTGCATCCAATACTGTGCTACTGCATTTTGAATCAGCTATAGTTTATGGGGAATTTTAAAGGGTTACCTCAAATATCTTAAGAACCATGGCCCCATAAACACTTGGCTAAGCTAGGATTAAATCAGTTTTCCTCCATCCAGACTCAAACAGCATCCAGGCACTGGAACATTGATTACTTGGATCAAAAGAGAATAGGATTAGCAGCTAAATATCATAAACTTTCTGATGGTACCTGACCCAATGAAATATTAGCACTCTTTCCTATATTTTCAAGCTTTTGCATTCCCAGTATGTTCCATCTTTATTCCAACAGATTTCTGCAGTGATTTTAACAACTGCAGTGCATTGAACTGATCAATAAGTGAAACTCTGGATTTTCTACTCAAAAATTTTAAGTTGTAAATGTTGATGTTATAGTATTTTTTTTAAAGACAAATGAACTAGGTATACAGAAAATAAAAGAGATAGGGATGACATTGATGTAGTGGTTATGTTGGAAAAGCTTTGAGGATATCCTGGTTCAAGTCCACTCTCATCCCTAAAACCTCATAGAGTGATGTTGGACACTCTATCAGCTCAACCTTCCTCACAGAGTTATTGTGGTGAGAGGCACAATTTATACTGTCTCGAGCATTGGCGGTAAAGTGGGATTAAGCATAAAGTAGAACAGCAGCATCTTCTCCTTGCCATGTACATGACTGCAATCGTTCTCTGGTTCCAGCTACAAACTTTAATAGGCACAAAGTCTAACCTCATCTAAAATTGTCAAGGATGGGCTTGAATGTGTAACAGATTTTCAAATAATTTTCTGTCTTCTCCCTTGCAGAATTAATGCAATGTTATTCAGCCCATTTCTTTTAATCTGCCACCTCAGTTCCCTTGTCTGTCCCTGCAATTAACCTTTGTGTCATTTAATTACTGACCCTGTTGGTCATGGTACAGTTATCCTCTGACATTCTACATTAGTGACTCCAATGCTCCCTTTAAAACTAGGTTAAACATGTTACCTAAGCAAGGCACCCAATTAGTTACTAGAATGTTCAATTTGTACAGCCAGTCAATCAATAGTTAGAATTTTGTCAAATTTGCAACTTGCCATATTTGTCTTGTGTTTTTAAGTTCTATATTTTACTCCTGCTGGGTTTTCCTTAAAAAAAAAAACCTATTACCACAACAACTCTTCACCATCACAATTTGGATATATTTATGGCTCTCTATAGTGTAGGGAGGGGTGCACAGTAAAAAGTGGGTACTGCAAGTGCAAATGAATTGTCAGTGGCTCCAGCAGCTCCCAATTGACTTACAACCTTATTATGTCTGAAGCTCTGTGGCGTGACTCACACAAAAGACAGCAATCATTTACACATAAGGTAAAGACCCCCATCTTGCTTCCCTCTAGCTTCATCTAACGAGAACATGATATAAACACATAAAGTATTCAGGTAGAAAAAGGATTTACACCAGAAGATGTCGGAAAACATATCAAAGGAATACAAACAGAAGGTGTGAAACAGCAATAGGGAAAACAAACGCCAGTGTAGATTTTCTTTTTCTTTCATTTATTCCTGTTACATATTCACAATAATGTAGCATGAGGACAGAATGACTTTTTAGGGACAACTAAATATTATATGCAGATGCAATCTCCTAGTGGTGTAAAACAAAACAGAAAGGAAAATCAACACACAAAAATTAGGTAATATTTTTCCTAACAACTGGATTTTTTTTGCCTAAAGTTGGTGATCAATTCATGATTATCTGAGAACAAAGCAGTTAGTGTTTAATACAGCATAGTACCTGCCATCTTAGACAAGATATTCACTGTTGTCTCAATATATCTATATTCATGTAAGTATAAATACATTTATTATTCATTTGGCACACTTTTGAAATAAACTAAAAGGGTTGTAATTGTTCTGCCATAACCAGTCAGTTCATCTCATAATCACTTGTTTTAATAAATATTATGAGTAACTCTGATTGAGTATAATCCACTTAAAGTCAACCCAAAACCAAGGCCATGTGGAAAAATCAATGCCAATAAGTTTATATATTAACATTTTTGGTACCATTGATAAAGGCAACAGCATGGTAGAATTCAGATAAACCATAAAAATATATTAACTTTGGCTTAATTAAGGCAACAAACAGTCAAACCACAGACAATCAATGGTTTTAGTTCATCTTGCAAGGATTGCTGCTGAAGTTCAGATTTACCAGACTGGTTTGCAAGGGGACTGAGCAGTATTAATCTTTCAAAGCATGACTATAATCCAATATTGTGCCCTTCTCCTGCTGAAATCTTGAATGTAGCATGATAGTCTCCAAGTAATATGCCAGGCATGAGGAACTGTGCCCTTGAAAAGGATGTCAGATTGCTCTTAAAGCATGTCTCACAGCAGAGATGCATCTGATATACAACTGAATATAAGAGACTTTCATGAAATTTAGTGTTGATGGCTTTGATGAAAGAGATTCATTCTTACTGCAGCCCTAATGATGTTGAGAATTGATGCAATGTGGGAGACGGGGAGAAGATCAACAATCGCAAAATAAAGCAGTTTGGTAAATCTGGTCCTGAATCAAATGTTCATCAATTGTTAATATTAATAGTAGTCTTTACTTAAAAGATTCAGTTGGAAATATCTCTTGAGATAACTTCTTTATTTTAATTGCTTTCCTGCTAACTGCTATGAAAAAATTGAAAATTTTAATTATAATAGCAATAGCACTTAGACTTGTATACCACTTCACAGTGCTTTACAGCCATCTCAAAGCAGTTTACAGAGTTGGCATATTGCCCCAACAATCCGGGTCCTCATTTTACCCACCTCAGAAGGATGGAAGGCTTAGTCAATCTTGAGCCTGCTGAGATTTGATCTGCCAAATTGCAGACAGCCAACAGTCAGCAGAAGTAGCCTGTAATAGTGCATTCTAACCACTACGCCACCATCGTTAGAAGTATTATAAAGGATTTTCGTGATCCTTTTCAGTCGAAGTTTAGAACAGGTATGAGAGGGGACATGATTTTGGATAATCTATGGCATGGGAAGGATGGGGGTTGTGCATCCATCTTCCCTCTCCCTCTCTTGGTGCCTATTTTTTTTAAAAAGGTTTTTATTAGGTAAACATTAAAAATGTTGGGCATAATGCAACATTTCTGGCATAGTGATTTCCATGTTCTTAGATCAGAGGTGGGATTCAAATAATTTAACAACTGGTTCTCTGCCCTAATGACTATCTGGGTAGGTGGGGCTCGGTGGTCATGTGACTGGGTGGGTGTGGCCAACTCAAGATCACGCAGGTCATTGGGTGCTTCGCCTTAGCTGTTACAATGTAATAAGGTTAACCGGAGAGGCAGTTTCTGTAAGTAGGTCAATAAAGATTAGGCTAGAAACAACACTAGA